TCCTGGGACTTGGGAGACGAGACCAACCCACACTTCTCTACACCCCCCTTCAGGTAGTTCTAGAGCACGAGAAGGTCTCCCCCCAGCCTCCTCTTCTCCAGGCTGAACACCCCCATCTCCCTCAGCCTCTCCTCATCAGACTCACTCTCCAGACCCCTCACCAGCTTTGTCGCCCTTCTCTGGACCCGCTCCAGCACCTCAATGTCTTTTTTTGTGGTGAGGGGCCCAAAACTGGACACAGCACTCGAGGTGAGGCCTCACCAGTGCCCAGTACAGGGGGATGATCATCTCTCGGGCCCTACTCCCCACGCTGTTCCTGATCCAGGCCAGGATGCTGGTGGCCTTCTTGGCCACCTGGGCACTCTGCTGGCTCATGTTCAGCCCACAGGCCACCAACACCCCCGGGTCCTTTTCTGCCAGGCAGCTCCAGCCTGTAGCACTGCAGGGGGTTGTTGTGACCCCAGTGCAGGACCTGGCACTTGGCCTTGTTGAACCTCATCCTGTTGGTCTCAGACCATGGATCCAGCCTGTCCAGATCCCTCTGCAAAGCCTCTCTACCCTCCAGCAGGTTGACACTGCCACCCAGCTTGGTGTCACCTGCAAACTTACCGAGGGTGCACTCGATCCCCTCGTCCAGATCATTGATAAAGATGTTAAAGAGAACGGGTCCCAGTACCCAGCCCTGTGGGACCCCACTCATGACCGGCCACCAACTGGATTTGACTCCATTCCCCACCACTCTCTGGGTCCGTCCCTCCAGCCAGTTTTTAACCCAGTGGAGAGTCCTCCCATCCAAGCCATGGGCAGCCAGTTTCTCCAGGAGGATGATCCAGACTGGATCTAAAGTCCAGGTGAACACCATCCACAGCCTTTCCTTCATCCAGCAAGCGGGTCACTTGGTCATAGAAGGAGATCAGGTTGGTCAAGCAGGACGTGAACCCATGCTGGCTGGGCCTGATCACCTGGGTGTCCTTCATGTGCCTCATAATCTCACTCAGGATGATCTGTTCCATGACCTTCCCAAGCACCGAGGTCAGACTGACAGGCCTGGAGTTCCCCAGATCATCCTTCCACCCCTTCTTGTGGATGGGTGGCCCATTTGCTAGACACCAGTCAGCTGGGACCTCCCCAGTTTGCCAGGACTGCTGGTCCATGATGGAGAGTGGCTCCTCAAGCACCAGTGGAAGTGCCCTCAGGTGGATCCCATCTGGGCCCATAGACTTGTTTGAGTCCAGGTGCTGGAGCAGGTCCCTCACCGCTTCCCTTTGGATCATGGGGGCTTCATTCTGCTCCCTGCCCTCATCTACCAGCTCAGGGGTCTGGGTACTCAGGGGACACCCTACTCCATTCCTGAAGACTGAGGCAAAGAAGTCATTCAGCACCTCAGCCTTCTCCTCATCCTTTGTCACTACGTTACCTCCCATATCCAACAGCGGATGGAGGTTCTCCCGAGTCCTCCTCTTGCTCCTAATATATTTATAGAATTTCTTTTTGTTGTTTTGAACATCCAAGGCCAGGTTCAGTTCAAGCTGGGCTTTGGCCTTTCTAATCTTTTCCCTACGTAACTTTACCACACCTTTATAATCTTTCTGCGTGACCTGTCCCTTTTCCCAAAGGCCATAAACTCTCTTTTTTTTTCCCCTGAGCTGTGACCCCATCTCTTCTTTCACCCAGGCTGGTCTTTTCCCTCGATGGCTCGTTTTATTGCTCACAGGGACGGCCTGCGCCTGAGCTTTTACGACTTCCTCCTTGAAAAATGTCCAGCCTTCCTGGTCTCCTTTTCCCCTTCAGGGCTGGCTCCCAAAAGACTCTGTCAAGCAGAAAAAGCTTGAAAAGACCAAAGTCTGCCCTCGGGAAGTCCATGATGACAGTCCTGCTGGTTCCTCATCTCGCCTCCCTGAGAATGGAAAACTTTATCATTTCGTGGTCACTTTGCCCCAAACGGCCTCCAACCGTCACGTCCCCCACGAGTCCTTCTCTATTTGCAAACACCAGATCCAGCAGTGCTCCTTCCCGTGGGAGACCTCGAGTGGGGTTGGGGACATCCATGATAGGGTTGGGGACACCACCATAGACCCCCCCAATGCCCCATAGCTCCTCAGCGCCCCATAGATCCCCCCCAGGCCTCCAGAACAACCTCCCCCAAAGCACCATGGGCAATGGTGAGGACGTGGTGAGGACATCATGAGAACACCAGTGCTCCATAAAGTGCCACCACCATGACCCCAAACACACCTCAGATGTCCCTTTTCTGTGTCACCTTCTGTGGGGTCTCCAAAGGGCTTTGGTGGCTCCAGGGTGGGCTGATGGTGGGGACACCAGAACCCCATGGAGTGTCACCACTGCGGCCCTACTGCTATCTCCCTTGTGCCCATCCCATGTCCCACAACTTCATCTCATGTCCCACATCCCTGTCCCATGTCCCACATCTTCAGCCCATGTTCCATCTCCCCATCCCATGTTCCATCTCCCCATCCCGTGTCCCGTGTCCCCGTCCCGTGTCCCATCCCATATCCCATGTCCCCATGTCCCCATTCCCCATCCCATGTCCCCACCCTACATCCCCATCCCATGTTCCACATCTTCATCCCACACCCTACGTCCCACCTCCCCACCCTACATCTGCACCCCCTGTCCCCGTCCCCACCCTCCTTCCACTGTGGGGACAAACTACGGCCAAGACCTGGTGGGGACAGTCCCACCAGGGGCTCAGGGGTGGCTGGGACTTTCCCAGTAGGATCTCCTGGAGCTTTGGGGAGGGTGTTGGGCACGCGATGAGACCACGTGTCCTCCTTGGGACCACATCTCTGATGGTAAATGGGTGTTATCACTTGTCCCCTTTGCTCCCGGCACCTGCAGCTCAGGTTTCGTCCCTCCTACTTATTAATTGTGACCAAAGGTCCCCCCCAGCCACCACACTCCACCGAGGTGACACTCCGTGTCCCATTCCCACCGTGCCCGCGATTGGTGACGGACTCACGAGCCAAACTGATCCCCCAACGCTGTAGTTGCCACCGCCCCCCAGCTCTGGAGACATGGAGTGTCGTCTATGGGGCAGCCTGGCCCTGGTCTGCATCTGCTTCCTGGTCGTCATGGGAGGTGGGTGCCGCTGGGTGGGGAGTGGGGGGGCTGGGACTTCCACCACCTCTGGGGGCACCCTGAGGTCTTCAGGTGGGACAGGGATGGGACCAAGGGTCCTCCAAGGACCCTCCTCCCTCAGTTGCTGCTGGGATGGTTTTGGCATCAAAAGAGCACAACCTGGGGTCTTTGGTGGGGGGTCCATGGATCGCTGGTGAGGGTCCACAGGTCTTTGGGACCCACCCGGAGGTTTTGGGAGGTCTGGGGGGGTCTTTGGAGAACCAAGGGCAGGTCTCTGGGGGGATGCTGGTCTTCTGTCGATGTGTGTCTTTGGAGATCCATGGGTCTTTGGGACCAAACTGGGGGTCTTAAGAGGTCTGGGGGTCTTTGGAGAATCAAGAGCAGGTCTTTTGGGGAACATTGGTCTTCTGTGGAGGTTCATGGATCTTTGGAACCCACCTGGAGGTTTTGGAAGGTCTGGGGGGGGGTCTTCAGAGAACCAAGGACAGGTCTCTCAGGGCACGTTGGTCTTCTGTGGAGGTCCACGGGTCTTTGGGACCCACTTGGAGGTTTTGGAAGCTGTGTGGGGTCTTTGGAGAACTAAGGGCAGGTCTCTGGGGCTTGTTGATCTATGGTGGATGTGGGTCTTTGGAGGTCAATGGATTTTTGGGATCCAACTTGGAGGTGCTGGGTGGGGAGTGGACACCCATCTGAGATCCCAGGGTGCAGGAAGCCCCCAGAGCAGTTGGTCAAAATTCAAAAGATCTTCTCACAGCCATGATCTTCTCCCCTGTTGTGCACAGACGACGCTGACAAACATGTCCCTTGGGACAAAGGGCAACCAATCAGGCACAGTCCACCTTCACCCAAGACACCTCACGCCCAAGAAGTGAAAGTGAAACACGGGGAGGATGTTCTTCCAGATGCCAGCGGCAGGAGGTCTTCTCCACCGCTGGTCCCAGTGGAGAAGAAGGGACACACGCAAATGAAGAGGGATGGGGTGGATCTGAAGGACCATCTCAAGTTGGAAGAGGAGCAGGGGACCCTGTATGTCGGGGCCGGAAAGAATCAGTCAATCACCAATACGACCACCCCCACCACTACCTCCACCACTACAAAGACCCCCAACACTACCTCCACCACTACCACCACCCCCACAACTTCCTCCAACACCACGACCACCCCCAACACTACCTCCACCACTACCACCACCCCCACAACTTCCTCCAACACCACGATCACCCCCAACACTACCTCCACCAATACCTCCACCCCCACAACTTCCTCCACCAATACCTCCACCCCCACAACTTCCTCCACCAATACCTCCAACCCCAACACTACCTCCACCACTGTGACCATCCCCACCACTACCACCACCACCACTACCACTACCACCACTACCACCCCACCCCCACAACTTCCTCCAACACCACGACCACCCCCAACACTACCTCCACCACTCCCACCACCCCCACAACTTCCTCCAACACCACGACCACCCCCAACACTACCTCCACCACTCCCACCACCCCCACAACTTCCTCCAACACCACGACCACCCCCAACACTACCTCCACCAATACCTCCACCCCCACAACTTCCTCCACCAATACCTCCAACCCCAACACTACCTCCACCACTGTGACCATCCCCACCACTACCACCACCACCACTACCACTACCACCACTACCACCACCACGGCCTCCACCACTGACGCGGGTGAGTATTCTTCCTTGGTGGCACCACTTGGCCACCTCCCTTCCTCCTTGACCTCCCAGACCTTCTCTGGGTGGTTTCTCCAGGCTCAGTCACAGCACCCAATGTCTTGGGGTGGCCTTTTCCAGGTCACTGTGAGAATGGGGGCACGTGGGACGGCACCAAGTGCCAGTGTACCGAAGGATACTATGGTGAGAAGTGCGAGATCCCCATCTGCCAGAACAACGGCACCATGGTGGACGGTGTTTGCCGCTGCACCGATAACTACCAGGGTGAATACTGCGAGTACGCCAAGGAGGTCATCGAGATCAAAAACAGTAAGGAACCATCCCAAGATGGCCTACACCGCACTGGAGGCTTCTGTGTCTGTTGACACAGGTTGGGGGGAAATGATGACAATGACACCAACCTGGGATTTGGTCTGAGGGTCACCTCAGAGGGACAAACCCAATGGGGGTCACCATGAGGGACTGACCTGGGAATGGGCCACCACGGAGGGATCGATCTGGGAATGGGGTTGGGGGTCACCTCAGAGGGACTGACCTGGGAATGGGCCACCACGGAGGGATCGATCTGGGAATGGGGTTGGGGGTCACCTCAGAGGGACTAACCTGGGAATTGGACCACCATGGAGGGATCGACCTGGGAATGGGGCCACCATGGAGGGACCAACCTGGTCTCTTGACCATGGTCCCACCGAGGGTGGGATGGGGGACACTGGAGTTGATGGCTTATGGGTCTTCTTCTGCTTGGTGAAGCGACGGTGAACGCGACAGTAGAGATGAAGATGAAGATCGACAACAGGAACTTCACCGAAGACCTCAAAAATAAGACCTCTCCGACTTTCAAGAGTTTTGAGACTGACTTCAAGGCTACGGTAATGGGGAGGGAGGGGGTTGGGGGGAGTATCCACATGGTGGAGGAGCACCCTTGGGTGGAGGGTATTTGGGGTGTGATGGGGCTGGTGCCCGGATCTCCCCATGGTTCCTCTTTGTCTTCCAGATGGCGGAGGTTTACAAAGATGTGAAGGGCTACCAAGATGTGGAGATCCACGAGCTGATGTGAGTGTCCATGGGGGGTTGGGTGGTGTGTCCTCATGGGGTGCTCACCCCCTCCATCTGCTCAGATTTGGGCTGGAGGGACACACAGGATGGTCAGATCAAGGTGATGCTCTTCCAAGGATGCCTCCAAGCCACCTTCTGTTCCTGGGGTTCCTGCAGGATGGTCCAAAGCCCCACGTAACAGTGGGTCACACACTGTCCCCCCACACTGTGGGAGGTCCTTGTCCACCCGGTGCCTCTTCTTCTTGCAGCCAGGGCAGCATCATTGTTAACTACACTGTGATCCTGGAGGTCCTCGCCAACACGGCGGCCGACGAGACAGTGCAGAGCATCTCCCAGAACCTCGTCCAAGCCGTCAACAACAACTCCGTCTGCAACAGCAGCTGCCAAGGAGACAACTGTGAGCGATGCTAGGGGTTGTCCCCCCTCCCCCCTCCATGTGTCAGGTGGCACCAGGGCAGGGTCCCTTGATGAGGAGGCACACGGAGTGGTGGGGGTGGTGGTGTTGAGCCCATGGGTGCCCACCAACAGCTTCTCTCTCCATCCCACCAGGCGGCTTCTGTTTCAACCCAACCTTCACCAACGTCACCAACTATGGGGTGGGAGAGGTTAAAACAGGTAAGTGAGGACAGGACAGGATGTCCCACAGGAGGACATCTGTGTGTCCTCGTCCCTCCCCAATCCTCCCCCAACCTCCCGGACCCCACAAAACCCACGTCCCCACCTCCCCCACCCGTAGATCTGTGCCGCGCCTTCGTGGGACAGGAGCTCAGGGACTACTACACCCCCTTGGTGACGTCCACCGGCGTCGTCTGCATCACCAGATGTGACAAACGCGCCCAAGACCCCTACACCTGCGTCCACGGCAGGTGCACCGTGACCCGCTCGGGACCACAATGCGAGTAAGGACCTCCTCAAACCCCCACCCACCTCCAAAACCAGGGTGTTCCTGCCCCCCTTTGGGGTTTTGGGGTGAAACACCGGGCTTTTGAGGTGAAAGCCTTGGGTTTGGGATCCTCCTCACCCCCTGGATGTCCCTCCCCACCAGGTGCTCGGACCAGGCTGCCTTTTGGTACCAAGATGACAAATGCAGCTCGAGGATCAGCAAGATAGCGGTGGCCGTAGGTGTGCCCGTAGGCGTGTTGATGGTGGTCATCATCATCCTCACCATCTTCCTGGTCCGGGCACAGAGGAGGAATGACGAGCTTAGGCAAGTGCGCGGCCGTGGGGTGGGTGGTGCCAGCTTCTCATCCCCCTCCATCCCACCCCGTCGGATCAAGTTGGCCTCCCGCAAGGAACGCTACTATGACGAGGATGAAAGTTGGAGCAGCATGAAGGGCTTCGCCATCCGCAACCCAGCAGCTATGTCGCAAGGTGACTGGGGTTGGGTGGTGGTGGTGGGGTGAGGGGGATTGAGGGTGGGTTGTGTTGGATGGGCCTGGGTTGGGGTGTGTTGGTGGGGGTTGGTTTGGGGGGTGTTGGGAGAGTTGTCACGTCCAGGGAGCTTTGCGGGGAGGTGTCCTACCTCACTCTTTTTCCACCTCCACAGGCTCGGTGACCTACAGCTCCCCCTACATCGATCTGGAGAGGGCGGAGCCCTGGCAGAAGGTAGGTGCCACCTTCCCAAGGCCCTGACGGTGTCCTCCCCCCACCCCCACCACGGTGGGGACAAGGGGACAACCCCCATCATCTCACACACCCTCCTCTCCCCATATGCAGATGCAACGACCATCTTTCATCAGACCCTGAGAGGACCCACCCAAGAACCAACGGCGAGCAGAGCTGGGGGGACACACACGGACATGGGGTGGGGGGTTGTCTCGGGGTGGGAAGCACCAGGAACTCCACCATCCTCTTCCTCTCCGCGCGGTCGTTCCCAACAGCACTTTTTAATAGTTAAATAAAGCACTAATTTTATTGTCTCACACCCCGGTTTCTGCCTGGCCTTGGGGACACGTGAGGTGGTCCCCGTGCCCACCATGGGGTAGGGTGTCCACCCTCCCCCTGTGCCCCGTGAGGCAGATGTAGGGCTCGAGTTGGAGGACAGGGCTGGCTGGGTGGGATGCAAATGGTGTCCCCTCCCCCCCCCCCAAAAAAAAACTTTTCCCCCATTTGAAAAAAGCAAAAAATGAGGCAAAAACCAGTAATTTTAAAAAAGGAAAAAAAAAAAAAACCAACAAAAAAAAAAACCTCTTGCAAAGGAGGAAAGCAAAAGGTTGGGGAGGAGCGTTAATTGCTGAGGGAAGCAATTAAGACTTGGCCAAGGGATCACTCCAAAGGTGAAAGTCCAAGGGAGTGACGCACGTGGGAGAAATTGTCCTTGTTCCCACCCCCAGGGGGAAATATCAGGCCAGAGGTTCATCCACACCTTCCCCTGGGGAAGGGGACAAAGGGCTGTGGGGTGGAGGGCAGCTGCTGTGGCTTTAGAGGATGGGGGGACAGCGAGGAGGTCCACATCCTTGGCCACATCCAAGGTGGCACCAGCCACGGATGGTGGGAACATCCAGGGGGTCCCGAGGTGGCACCAGCCACGGATGGTGGCAACATCCAGGGGGTCCCGAGGTGGCACCAGCCACGGATGGTGGCAACATCCAGGGGGTCCCGAGGTGGCACCAGCCACGGATGGTGGCAACATCCAGGGGGTCCCGAGGTGGCACCAGCCACGGATGGTGGGACCACGGAAGGAACGAGATGTGGTCTGGGGTCACCCCCCCCCAACCAGCCCCTTGGGAGGGGTTGTCACCCCGAAGTCACCCCTGTTCCCACGCCTGGGAGAGGCGGAAACGTGCCAGAGCTCGCGTGCAACCACCTGGGCCCGGGGCCAATTCACACCCTGCCCCCTCCTCCCCCCACTCCCAGGGCTAAAATTAGCCTTTTATTGGGTTTTTCCTCCCTTATCTGAGAGCCAGGAAGCGTGTGGGGAGGGTGGGGCGGGGACACAAAGTCCAACCCCCCGCAGAAAACACCTTGGGGGGTGGTAGGTCCCCAAACCTGGAAGGTCCTGGTGTGGGGTAGGAAGGTTCCCCCCACACACACACACCCAGCCCCTGTTGGTGGGGATTCTGGGGGGTTTCACCCCAAAAAAAGGACTGGGGGGAAGAGGAGGGGAGTAATGGTTTCCCCCCACCCCCAAGTCTACCTTGGGGTTTTCCCAGTAGAAACCAGTGTCCCCAGAACCTTTCCCAGTGTCTTTATTAAGAAGAAAAAGGGGGTCCAGCCCCAGGGGGTGGGTTTTCTTTGGGCTCAGAGCTTCGTGGAGAACTTCTTCACTCTGGGGACCTGGAACTGATGGGGGGGGGGAGGGAAAAGGGGGGAGGAAACAGAGGTGTCAGCAGGAATTTTGGAGGGGGAGGGGGAGGGGGTGTCCCCCATTTCCCTGTGTCCCATCGGGATGGGGGGGTTGTGGGTTTTGGGGGGCAGGGGGGACAAACACATGACTCACCGATGACGACGTGTCCATGGACTCAAGGTTGACCTGAAAGTCGTCCTTGGGCTGGGCGCCTTGTGGGAGGAAGAGGAAAGGAGGGGTGGGCTTACCAGGTGATCAAGGTGGGGATTTGGGGGGTGGGGGGAGGGCGGGGTGCCCCCCAACCCCATGGGGTGACTGAGGACCCCACCCCTCTCCTTCTCCTCCTCTACAACCCACCGCAGCCCCCCACCTTGATCTTGGAAGGTGAAGCTTCCTGGGAGGCTCCATGTCTCATCAACGTCCTTGTACCACTTATCCTCTGGTG